ATCAAATGAAGTGCTTAAAAGTAGCACTGTAGAATTCATACAGCACATTATGAAGTCTGACTTTACAAAATAGAGCCGTATAACAAATGCTTATTACTGAACTTCTTCGATATAAATAGCTACCCACCATTTGACGATTTTTAGTAAAGAACAGCAAATTGATCCTTTGCGGACGGGGCCATTTTTGGCTAGGAGGCGGCTCGGACGACTACGAATAGAGGCTGTCGGCTCCTGCTCCAAGGCTAGCGTAGTAGCTATCTAATAAAATTTATACTTTTTTCGTCACTTCAATTTTGCAGCGGTAGTTGGTCAAATATGATGGAACAGACTTCACTAATGTTATTTTTACTAGAAATAACGATATTGCTCCATTCATTATTTGCACTTTCAAAGGAAAAAATTAAGCACTCATGAAAGGCTGTATCTAGAAGCTATTTTATTCTTCAAATGGCTTGTTTTCTTTGCTGTAGCAGTCGAAAAAGGTTTTAATTTACATAAAAGCATTTTTCGCCAGATGAAGGTTTTTTCATAAGCAACCAATAATTATTAGATAGGGCGAATCAAGGCAATTTCAACGGCATATTTAGCTTACGAAAAGGACCTCTCGGAGTGCCGTAGTGGCAATCAAGAGAAGATTAGATTCCGGAAATTTGGATAATTTTCGATGTCCCCATCCTGCTTTGACCTTCTGGAGAAAACGAGCTTCCTAAATTTTCTTCATAATTACAATAACCATTCGGTACTTGATATCTCGAAAAATTTGATAGTTTACTTCATTTTTAAGTGGTTTTCTTAGTACGGGAAAGAATTTTGCCTCATCCACTATATTCGTCGGCCCTTGCGCCCATCGACTACCACTTCTTCAAGCTTTCGATAATTTCTTGCAAGGATGTCGTCTTCCCAACCAACAGGATGCAAGAAAAGCTTCCCAAGAGTTCGTCAGATCCGGAAACACCGATTTTTATGCGAGAGAATCAAACAAACTTTCTTTCCTTGATGAAAATATGTTGATTTTTATTTTGATCAATAAAGATGTTTTTGAGACTAGTTATAGCAAATCGAATATCGTGGCCTGAAACTGCACTTCTGCACAGTCTAAAAAAATTTCCTTTTTACATTTTCCTTGCGTTTTACTCTTGTTGTATCATTATAGCCATGCTAATATTCATATGTAGAGGCTTCATTACCTGAGTTTGAAAAAAGAAACGTAGTAGGGTTGAAACTGAGTTGGCTGATGAGAACGAGGGATGCGCTCCCCCACTATTCCAACCAGTACAAGGACGGTGTTTCAAGATATAGTGTCATCAATGTGCCCTTCCACCCAAAAGTTAATCGCTTTGGAAATGGCTAACATTTATACAGAAGATCCGTTATATACAATATGTATCTACCTTCCCGCGCGATTATTCAAGCTACAAAGTGCTCTGATTTCCAGCCCTAATCACAGCTGTGAGCAAATTTGAGCGATATAAAGCTATTTGAGCAGCCTTTCACTATTCGTTTTTTGTATAGGCTTAATTTAAAGCTAATATTGCCTTTTTGCCATTAGAATGCTATATCCAAGTGTGAACTCAGTGAGATAATAGCCGAAATGATTTCTCATCGCTCCACCGACGCTTTTCGGTCGAGTTCCATTTGGATTTGGATCGGACAAGGTCACCTCAGTAGAGCATTCGATAACAACTCAGAATTTTTCTCTCAGAATCGTAATAAAATAATAACATAGATTTTCTTGTTTCGGAAGGTGATACAATAATGATGTGCACAAATTTTTTTGAATATTCAACTTAGAGATTTAGTTTTTGGCCGTTACCTCTAGAAACATCAAATAATGAAGTAAAATGATATTCCTGATCAAGTTGCTAAAACAACGCATAGTGAACATCCTCAGTGTGGCAAATGAGGAGATAAGGTAGGTCGATATTCAATAGAAAGGTCCTTTGAAAATTCGAAAAAAAAAACAGTTAGTAAGTGAAATATGACATATCCTATTCCAAACGGAAAGGACACTATAGCGCCCATGCGTGGCGGCGTGAGTAGACATTACAGCGCTCTAACGCACATTTTCTCAATAAATTCCAAAACTTTCCTACTACAGTATGCAAATTTCTTTGGTAGTTAATCGAAAGCAAATCAATAGGCAAGGATTGAAACCGGAAACATATCCTTCATTTCGAGTGTTTTCTTAAGACCACAGCTCAAATTACCAATATGCCTGATAAATCATTATTTGAGACCACGCATGTCAGTGGTCTGTTAATGAGGGCTGACTTATAGAGCCCGATACACGTGTTTCGATCTTGCGATCTCGTCAGTCGGGCAGTTACCCGTTCTCGTCTTTTGCTAATCTCTGTGGGTGCTCCAGTCCCCACAATAAGAGTTAGCGACGACGTATGTTTTACACTCTGTGTTCAGTGAAGAACTCACCAAACACAGAGTTTTTTACACTCGAATGCTCGTGGGCTAGTATATTTAATATAAACATATCCTTCATTTCGAGTGTTTTCTTAAGACCACAGCTCAAATTACAATATGCCTGATAATCAGTATTTGAGCCACGCATGTCAGTGGTCTGTTAATGAGGGCTGACTTATAGAGCCCGATACACGTGTTTCGATCTTGCGATCTCGTCAGTCGGGCAGTTACCCGTTCTCGTCTTTTGCTAATCTCTGTGGGTGCTCCAGTCCCCACAATAAGAGTTAGCGACGACGTATGTTTTACACTCTGTGTTCAGTGAAGAACTCACCAAACACAGAGTTTTTTACACTCGAATGCTCGTGGCTAGTATATTTAATATAACATATCCTTCATTTCGAGTGTTTTCTTAAGACCACAGCTCAAATTACAATATGCCTGATAATCATTATTTGAGCCACGCATGTCAGTGGTCTGTTAATGAGGGCTGACTTATAGAGCCCGATACACGTGTTTCGATCTTGCGATCTCGTCAGTCGGGCAGTTACCCGTTCTCGTCTTTTGCTAATCTCTGTGGGTGCTCCAGTCCCCACAATAAGAGTTAGCGACGACGTATGTTTTACACTCTGTGTTCAGTGAAGAACTCACCAAACACAGAGTTTTTTACACTCGAATGCTCGTGGCTAGTATATTTAATATAACATATCCTTCATTTCGAGTGTTTTCTTATGAGTTCTTCACTGAACACAGAGTGTAAAACATACGTCGTCGCTAACTCTTATTGTGGGGACTGGAGCACCCACAGAGATTAGCAAAAGACGAGAACGGGTAACTGCCCGACTGACGAGATCGCAAGATCGAAACACGTGTATCGGGCTCTATAAGTCAGCCCTCATTAACAGACCACTGACATGCGTGGCTCAAATAATGATTTATCAGAAACCGGAAACATTCTCTACAGTTGTTATTTGCGAGAAAGCTTTTTTCAGAAAGGTTTCATTACAGCCAAGTTCACTATATTAATTTTTGTTCTATCAATCGCAATTATGAACCTAGTGTATCGCATAGGATTTGCGAATGTAAAAATACCATGAAAAACTCAGCTCGATTCGCGGATACTGGCAAATGCCGCCAATAATGTAGATGTTCCATGGATCACAATATTGTGTTATCCCATGATTTTTTTCGCGCCATTGCTTTCCTGTAGTAAATCGAATGATTGCCAAAAGGCTGTGGCATGTTGGAGAATCTTCTAGAAGCCCTCACAGTTGTAATAGTGTTGTAGTTCTATGCCCTACGCTCGTGTTATATTCCGTTTTTATATTCTAGGCACCATTTTCTAGCAGTATACTAAGAACTCTATGATCGAAGATTATGTTCTCGCTTTTTAATTGGCAGGGAGTGCTATTTTAAGAATTGCTTGACTACAGGCGGACAATCGAAGCCGACGTCTATGGAAAACAACTCCGGAAGTTGACGGTAGCGGTGCAAGATAAGCGTCCAAAACGATTCTATGTCATTCTTTTCCAAAATAACGTTTGATCTCACATTGTAAAGTAGACTTACTAAATGTTGGAGAAGCTCTACTGGACTACGGCACTGCATCCACTGTATAGCTCTAATTTTTCTACGTCGGATTAGCATCTCTTACGTGCCTCGATGCAACATCGCGAAAGAAAAGATTTGGAGACTGTAACCAGCACAAAAGTGATCTTACTGAATTTTTTTCAACATCAGCCTCATTTTTTTAGGAATAAGGCATTCAAACTTTGCTCAGTAAATAGTTGCATATCATTTCACAATGGTGAATATACTGTCAATTGGTTGATTTCTTTGATTAAACAATAATTGATTTAACAGAATGTCGAAGTGTGGAAGAAATTGTGGGAGCACCCTATTCAGCAACACACATTTTATTCATATTCATAGAGCTGTAGAGTATCGTCCTCTACAGTTCTGCATATCTATCATATTCACAAACATAGACCCTTTTATTTTGCAGAAATGATTGTCCAAACCACTAGGTCCACAGCCAATAGAAATAATTGGTCATTTTCCATTGAGTTTCTCACAAGAGAGGAATATCGCCGCGACTACGTCATTAGCTAAGAATATTGACAGGAAAAGTGTTGGAAACGCCTTGCAAGAGAAGCCTGGACGTGTGTTCATTTTCCCTTCTCATGGTAGCTTATTTTTCGTCGGTACCTTGCCACTAGGTTCGACTTGCCTGAGTGAACAAGAAAGTGAAAGTGTATCAATCGATAAGCTACTGGAAGACACTATGCAAGTCAGAGTCGCATTCTAACCGTCACAATGCTCAATAATATCAAATCATGACTTCCCTAATACATCGTTGGTTATTATTATACGTCTAGACTGACTTATACCGGGAATTTTTCGAAGTAGAATTGGTCATAACGTGGGAAAACTTTTTTGTGTACTTGAAATCCGACGATTGGGTGTGGAAATGAAAACTTGAGTGGCATAGCAAGCTCAAAAAGGGATATAGGATGAAGCAGGTATTCTTCCATCTAGTCGCTGATGCTATAACTATACGCAATGATGTTGAGTGATCTGGAGAACTTTGACGTCACACAGGAATTGAACCCGCATTTTATCCTTTCTGAGGGCACGTGTTGACCAATTGCACTACAGACGCCTCTTTTGTCACCACTTTTCCCACGCTAAACGATACAGCTCTCGACGTTGATCAATTCCTGATGGGTGCATTATGCACACTCGTCTTCGCTTCTAATTTCGTTTGAAGTGATTAAATGCATAGCTGGCTTTTACAATGACTCGCATTGGCCTACCAATAAATCAGGGCAGTGCTGCTATCCTCCCAGACCATCTGGCACTGATTCACCGACGTCGGCGGAGTGGAAGATTTGAAGAGCCTTCAGCGCACGATTGAACCATCAACCATTGATAGACTGACCATGTGTGTCGCAGGCACCTCTTACCAGTGCCCCACATGCGAGCTCAGTGTGTAAGAGAAGTTCAAACATGGGCAGGCAGCAGAGTTCACTCAAATAGAAATCACCCTTTGAATTAGCAAGATTTTATTCGGCTAGAATTTCAGGCTTAGTTTTTCATTTGAATGAATACACTTTATGGAGGTCCAAAGGAATAGCACACTGTAGTCCTAAATTTTCGTGATCAGGGCATATTTTTCAGCTCTAGGTTGAGAAAGTAACTAATGAAAGTGATGCGTCTAAACTATTCGATGATTTGTTGTATCACATAGATCGCAACATATGTCTAATTCATCGTCTAAAATGTTATAATGGTACAAAGCTTGAAGAAGAGTATTTCAATAACATTTACAGTTTCAAGATGAAAGAAGTAGGACGTACTTTTACGCTATGGATGAAGCCGCGATTTCCTCGAATTTTTCACCGCCGCCGTGGTCACCGCTGTCGTCGTAGTCGTCACTGTAACCATCTTCTTGAAATTCATTGCATCAATATCACTGTAGTGCTTCTCCATGCACATTCGATGCACCTCCTTTTTCTACAGAAAGATCTTGGAAAATAAAATTAGACTTGCTCCAGAATTGATGAGGTCCCTAACAAATGCACTCACCGAAATCTGTGCAAATACGAGTACGTAGACCGATTTCTGAACACCTAACGATCGTTTCGTTCGCCATGTCAAGCCGAGCTGTCGTCTGGAATAACGGAAACCCAGTCGAATTTTGATAGTTTGATATTTTATTGCATGTTATATTCACCAGTAGCTCTATAAAACTGTATGGAGAAGTTGTGATGATTTATGAATAAATAAATATGAATAAGTTATCCGTAGTTGATACATATCAAGAGAATGCTTCAAAGGCGTACGGAGAGTAATGATTTCAGCATATTTTCCCGATAATTCTTCCAAAGCAACAGTCATCCTTCTCTAAGAAGTATATCTTCGCAGCTATTGTCGAAATGACTGACCTCTAGATTTGTGATAGTTGCCCGTTGAATGACAATTATCGTAACGGATATAAAAACTGCCAGCTATGGTACGACTGTTCACAACATTACACTGTTGATAATTTCAGTACATCTGAATTATATAATGAGAATATTCTATCGGGTACTCCTCCGTAATCTCCACCCTGTTTGACCTCTTCAGTAAAAGCGTACCTTTGCTTTTGCTTGAAATGTAAGTATGTATTCGATGGCCGAAATCAGTTGAATTTCAACGGTGTGTTTTATTCCCATCTATTTGTTCTTTGCGCTTTAACAGTCAAAATAAAACTTTGTTTCACATCCAAGAATTTCTCGCCGGATAAGGTTCTTTCTGTAAACAAACGATGAACATTCGATAGCGGAAATCTTAGCAATCGCAAAGGTGCAGTTGCTTTTTGGATGCACTTCTGAGAGCGCTGTAATAGTCAAAGAAGGTTGAGTTTCGCACTCCAAATGGTGAAATTTCGCAACATTGTCCCGAAGTCTCCTCGCTTTTTGCAACATGTCGATTACGTATAAAACGTATTATTCTTCTGACTACTACAGCGCTCTAAGGAGTCCATTTTAAACACCAATTACATTTTTGAAACAGCTGAAATTTGCGCTATCAAATGGTCCTTGAAACAAGCAGGGAAGCTTTGTTGAGCGAGAAATGCTTGAGTGAGAAAGGTATTCTTATTTTTACTGTTAGAGCGCATTACGGTGGTCCGATCATTTTTTGAACAGGAGAATTTTGCTGTTCCTCTTTCAATTTTACGACATCACCATATGATAGATGTGTTTCCAAGAAAGTTCGGTCTTATCGCTGGAAATGGAAACGAAGGATAGTAGTAGCAATGGAAACACAAATTCTAGTCTAGCGACAAGGGTACTGGTTGCAAAGCTGCGTTTGTCCATCAATAAAGAGGAAACAGCAAGATTACAAGCGATTCATAAGAGAAATGTGTTGTAACTCAATTCAATGCCCTAGACACCGGCACTGCCCCCAGCATGGTCTGATGGTAATTATGGCGACAGGGAATTGCTGTATGGCAGATCATAAAGTAATGGCTTTGAGAATGTGCTCAACCTACAATATGCAAAAGCTAAACTCGCAGCTTTTTCTCCAACCGATTTTTTTTGTCAGTCATAAAGTTTAAATTAGCATATCTTTATTACATGTTTACTTTTGCTAACTAGATATAATTTTATTCCTATGCTTTGAGGTTATATTTACATAAAACAGTTGAGATACTGAGAAAAATTGGGTCTATTGCGTCAGGTGAAAATCTAGATACAACAAAAATCTTTCTTTTGTGAAATGTTGATAATTAGACAAATTTGCAGGAAAAGAAGACTTGCTGGAACTTCTATATTTCAAAAGTCTCTTCTAAAGGTATAAGCGCATCGTAGGAACGTGAGGGCTGCTTGGTTGGTGTTAGAACTTCCGCCTCATAACTAACATTCGTTCATGTGCTCATTACTTAGATGAAACTACACTGGCCGAAAGTTATCAGGGCATTGCGACAATGAGATGTGCATAAGTTTATCCGGTGGCAGGGAGAAGATGTTCAGAGCTAACAGGAACTCTAGCATCTCGCGCTATCCAACGAGAACAATGTTCGCCTCTTTTGAGTGATCCGCTTTCTTTATGATAAAAGACGTCAGACTGATTTGGACGCCCTGACGCATATGTTTATGATATAACTTGAACAAATTCCTTTTTGCGATACCAGTTCGTAATATCAGGTTTGAATGGCCACCGACACGATTTTTTACGCGAGTGAACAGAAGTACCACTAGATTAAGACGATAAGTAATGTCTTCTCCCTATCGCAGTGCGGTAATACGGCAGAGTGCTAATGAAAACCTGAAGCCCGAGTGACATGCAAAGGCGAAACAACTCTATAATCAATCGTAGAGAAATTGGCAAATTTTTATCTCTTAAATACAGGCAAGTAGTCTTTTGAATATTTGGACGTGTTGCAAATTATGAAGCGCTGCTTTAAATTTTAATGGTACCTCTTGCAGTTTAATTTTGAACGTGATAAGAAAATTGACATACGCTTACATAGGTGCTGCTGCCGAGAAGCTGAAAAGTATGTCAAGTCGAGAACAAAAAGGTGGAGCTGAGTAATAACAAAAAACAGCGTCAACAGAAAAAAGATTATCTGAGTGCTTGCTAACATCAATAATAAGAAAAATAGTGGGTAAAAAACTATTCGTTTGTGGTAATGTCGACACCACATACTGGTCTTAATGTCGTTGGTCTGAAAAATCCTAGTTCGACCAAAGCGATCACCGTAATCAGTGAGTGGGGCGGCGACTGGATTTGTGTAAACACGAGGTTAGGCGAGAGAAATGACCATACACCATATGGACCCAAGAGTGCACACCTGCAGAACAAGAGATGGCTAACGAGATAGGCAGGATAGGGCAGTTGAAGAGGATTATTGATGTAGTCTACCTCGGGCTGAATCATGTTAGTGAGCTGGTTCCATAACAAAAACGCTAGTGAGCACAATGATTCGCCTGAGAATCTTTTCACCACGGAGCAGACGACGTAGGTAAAAGTTGTGGCTATCCTCCTTGCTTACAGACTCCAAAAATAGAACACGACTTGGCTGGAATATAACGCGTTTATCATGTCAATGACAGTTTGTATTGCAAGGCACTGCTGATTATTTGCCACGCGCGCCTCAAATAATTGAAACTGAAGGAAGGCAAGAAAAAATTCACACTGCTTTCTGCTTTGCTGCCAATGAAAAATATGGTCTTATCAGCAGGTTGCCATTCTGTGATCGTCTGCCTAACAGATCAATTTGACACCGTGATTATTAGAACGATTATCAGATTGGCAGTTTGCATTTTGCGAGTTGGATTCCATCAAAACTTCCCGTAAAAGACTCAGTTTAACCACACTGAATCAATAAGGATCTCATCAGAAGTTATCATAGAAGATTTTTTGAAAGCAGAACATCCCTTTGACGAGCAAAAAAAATTCAAAGACTAGAATTCATTTTATTTGGCTGCCTATTGCGGTGTTAAGATGTTATAATAAACCCAATAGTGTATAGTGGTGTGCAAAACATTTGTGTCAGCCGGATTTCAAACCCAGACCTCACTCTTTCCGGGAGCCTGTGCTGCTGCGTTGTTGGTGCAACGGTTCAGCACACGCTCCCGCTAAGAGTGAGATCTGGGTTTGAATCCCAGCTGACACAACCCTCCAAAGATCATTACTATTTCCTAGAAAAAGAACGGGATTTTCCTTGTCTTCAAGCTTAAAGAGATATGAGCTAGTGTCTCCAAACTAAGAGAAATATGAGCTGAAGTGCACAGCATCTGATATGGAAAAGCTGTTGTCTCACTTACTATGTGGTTGATGCGAAGATTTTACGGTTTTGGTTCGTGAATTTCATTCTATTTAAACTAAGCATGCACGAACTGTTATAAGTTAAAATAGAAACCATTACAATCAACACATATTTGTTAGCTAGAGATAAGTGCTTCATTCCTCTAGTATAAAAATAGGTGACGCAAGAATCGACGAACTCCTGGAAAGTTTCTTTTCCATCCTCTCGGATGTGGTGTTCTTCCTACGAGAAATTTCCAAGATGCTTAAAGAAGTGGAAATGGGTGGGCTTGAGGTCTGTTGAAATGAAAGAACTTCATAGCCAAATTCATACAACTTATGAAGCATTCGTTGTGCGATATGTAAC